AGCCCAGGTGTGCCCGCTGAGCCACTGGTGTCCAGGATCCACCGTGGGAACATACCCACTGCAGACTAAGTTCCACCCCTTAGCTACACACAGACAGGTCTCTGTTAGGAAGCCAATTGTTCTAGAATGACTACCCAGCTTTTCCTTCTGGCTAAGGTGGCTCGCCTGAGCTGTGCGGCATCCTGAGGCCTGAAGTCAGGCCTCCACAGGTTTTCATTCAGGAGAAGCAAACCAATCACCCAGTTATACGCCCCCAGCCGACCCCACCTGGCCGGCACAGGGTGACCCGGGCCTCTTGCCTGCTGTAACTCGCTGATGAGCTTGTTCTTATCTTCGATCAGCCCCGCACAGTGCACCTGCTGGGAGTTGAGCATTTCCCACAGTTCCTGGGGAATTTTCTTGTGTATGCCCTCCTCCCACTTGGCGGTGATGTCATCAAATTTGTCCTGGCTGGTCTTGACTTCGTTCTCCAGTTTTTCAAGCCTGCAAACACGAACACCGCAGGCCATGCCAGCTCAGCTTCCGATGCTGCCTTCCCATAGCGCAGCGCAGGCAGGTCCTCCAGACTCTATAGAACAGGGCTGGGTACCCAGCACTAGCTCCTGATATACCCACCCAAGACCAAACCAGGCTCTGAGAAATCTTTTAGTTTAATGCTTGACTGTAAGTGACTGAGACCAAACAAAGTGACACATAACAAAAACAGATCAACAGTAAAGCCAAACACACGCACATGTGGATCAAGAGTCAGCTGGTCACCTACTGATGAGTCAGAAGATGGTGGCACATAGTAGTTCAGTACTTGGTTCCTGGAGTTCCTTGCCTTGTGTTCAAGCCCTGGCTCTGCTACTAACTGATGCTCAACTTTAGACAAGTTACTTGAGCTCGGCAAGCCCCATTTTCCTCATCCATAAAATGGACAGGATGACCATGTCCACCTTCACATGGCTGTCGTCAGGATCAGTTAAGGTGAAACTCAGCACAGTAGTCACTTAACAAATGCTACTCATATGGTAACTGTCATTATCAACAGTGACCTCAAGTGCCTGACCGTTCCTCTCCCAAATCACCAGCAAATGTCCAGCAGAATGTACAAATAGGGAAACTCCATGTTAGCAACAGAAACTAGGGATGGTCTTTCCAGAAATTCCAAAGAAACTATGTGATGGATTATACTGAGGATGGGCCTGGACTGAAGGAAGGCCTCAGGGCTGAGATGTGAGGCCCCTTCTGAGACACTTAACCTTCACTTTGACACAAATCGCGGGTGGGTGTTTCCATGTCTATGCGGACTAGACATCAAGACCAGAGGCCGCGTTCACTCCTTTTCATGTCTACACAGCTTGGCGCATCACCAGGAATGTATGATTTGAGAAAAGGAGGAGGACGGGGGAAGCCAGCGGGAGGGAAGAGGATTTTACTAGACTGAGTGTGACAAAGCCGCTTTCCAGCAACGGGGGAGAACTTAGGGTCCCACAAAGGAGCCGTCTCCACATCCGCCAGGCTCCCGAGCAGGGGCCCCTCACCTCTGACGCTTCAGCTCCTCTTCCTCCACCCGCCGGTGGATCTCTCTGATGTCCGTAGCCACCTGGATGTTTGTCACCAACTCGGTGCCATAGAGCAGCAGTTTAGCCAATTTCTGAAAACAAAGAACTTATAACGTTAGCACACTTTATAAAGAACTTATGTACTTATAAAATGTGTAAGACTTTATAAGGAATTCATACGTTTATAACTTTATAACTTTAAAATAATTTATAAAATTAGAAACATTTTGCACAACTATTGGTAACTCTTCTATCCACCCAAACTGGAATCAAGAGCCACCTTAAGACTTTTCTTTTTGTTTTTCTCCTTTTCTTTTATTTAAATTCTTTTAAAAAATTTTTTAATTTTACATTTTTTTACCTTAAGACTTTCAATAACACCATCTATGTAGCAGCCCGTTTCCATCATGACATTTGTGCTGCGATGTTACAGCTTGCAAACTCAGAGCACTGTGCACTTCTGGGTGTGCTTTAGTTCATCCTCAGAGTAGCCCGCTGGCATGCGCTCTCAGTACATATGCTTTCCCCAGGAGACCTCCAAGTGACTACACTGCCTGCATCCTTTCTAAGACTCTCAGCTGGGGAGGTGAGGCAGACAATAACAGTTGTCCTCCCAAGTCCATTTCCCCCTCTTCCTATAGTAATCAAATACCCAAATTTCAGCTGGGCATTTGAGCTCCTAAAATAGGCACGTCTCCCAAACTCCCTTGCAGGTAGAACGGCATGGTCAATAGCACATAAGCGAACAGATACGTGCCGCATTTGAATTGTACTTTGAAGGGAAAGGGTGCACCTTCTGCAGTCTTAAGGTGGCTTTTGATTCCAGTTTGGGTGAATAGAAGAGTTACCAACAGTTGTGCTCCCCCTGCTCCCAGGCTGGAGTGTGGCGCTGAAGTACGATATGCTGAGCACATGAAGGGCAGAAGGAGGTGAGGGCCCGACCTTGAGGAGCCCCCATTTCAGCCCCAGACTATTACGTGAGGGAGAAAAATAAGCCTCCACCTCATTTAAGCTAACGTTATGTGGGGTCTTTTGTTACAGGGGCCCTAATACAGGAGAGAACTGTAGCTGGCTGCACTACCCTCTCCCTCAATGGGCTCAGGAATTTTGCATTTGGTGCTGCCCCTTCTAATCCCTCTTTGTCAATTCCACACTCAGTATATTCACGCCTGGCATTTTTGTGATGTCATAATTTCACCACCAAGTTCAGGTATCCTTGTGTTATGCCTAAGGTTTTCCAAGTCTGTTTTGGAACTTAAAAATTCTCCAACTCTCAAATCATTTTGGAACCTGGAACCTATAAATATCTTTACCTCAAGAAGTCATTGAAATGATCAGAGACTCTATTTCATCTTGCTAGTCTATAGGAATTTTGAAATGCAGTTTAAATAAATATAAAACAGACCTTAAACCCAGATATCTTGGGTACTGCTGACTTTTTTAAACGCCCGCAGCTTTATCGCTTGTACCGAAATGGTTTCACGTGCATGAGGAAGTAATTTTGAGCAGTTACTGTAGTTCAGTGCAATTTCCTATTTTCTACTCAGACAATGCAAACATCAGAAATTTCCAAATCAAGTATTCAAGTCACAAAGTAAAACTGAAAATGCTAGTCACCAACAGACCAACAAACACACCCCTAACATTTTTGAGACCCAGGAGAAGGATTTAAATGGAGGTCCACATACCATATACCTAAATATTTAGAAATTATAATTCAGTGTCATAAACAGTTCATAAAATATGCTCTGTCCTCCTACCTCAACACCTTCATAACAATTCAGAACTTGGTGGCTAGGGGAGAGCCAGTCTCTGACCCCCAGCCTACAGTCCACCCCATTCTCTCCCCATCCGCCTCTGTCCTACACCACTCAAGGCTTCACATGCAGGCATATGGAGTTCCCAGACCATAACCAAGCTCCATCTAGAACCCTTGTCATCCATCAGGCCTAAAGGTTGCACAACAGTGGCCTCGTCTGCCCTGAGCAGGACAGACCCTGGGAAAAGTCTCGTGCAGGCCGTGAAAGCAGGCTCAGAACCCTGTGGGGAGGGAATGTGTGCCTCTGTGGCACAGAGAGTGACCTAAAGGGGGCTCTGAATGAACCTGAGGCAAGTGCACTTGTGGGGGTGCACCCAGAGGGAAGCCAGAGCAAGACACAGGAGCCTCCTCATCACCACGTCTCTCTAACAGGCTGGAGGGCCTGTCTGGAGCAACAGGGCCAGAGAAAGAAATAAAAGGTGTGAATATTTTTTACATTTTCATTGAATTTATTGGGGTGACATTAGTTCATAAAATGATATAGGTTTCAGGCGTCCCATTGAAAGTTATAAATATTAAACAGGAAGAGATAGACACTCATTTTCAGATGATATGATTATATATGTAAAGCATAACCTTCCCTGACCAGGCCAGCGTAGTGAGCAATTTCCCATATCTCATTTCCTACAGTATCACTGTCTATGCAGTTTACGTTACAATTAATTAAATGTGGCACTTTGCTAGGTCTGGCTTGCTGTTTTGAACTGGCGTTTCTATTTCTCCAGCAATAAAAAACGACTTGTTCCAAGTCCTTTATTAAATATCCCAGGAGCCCTGCCATTACCATGGGAGAGCAGTTGATGATTTTCTTTTTAGTGTTTACTGAGTACAGGCCATGCGCTACTCCACAGATAGAGAGGCTCTTACTCTCACAGAGCTTACAATTTTTAAAATATATTTTTATTGATTTCAGAGAGAAAGGGAGAGGGAGAGAGAGAGAGACATCCATGATGAGAGAGAATCATTGATCGGCTGCCTCCTGCACACCCCACACAGGGGATCGAGCCTACAACCCAGGCATGTGCCCTGACCGGGAATTGAACTGTGACCTCCTGGTTCATAGGTCGCAGCTCAACCACTGAGCCACACCAGCTGGGTTAGAGCTTATAATTTCATTGGGGACACTGCATGCACACACATTTGAAAAGTCATACAGGGCAGAAAACTATCCAAAATGAAATGAATTAAAGGAGGTCAGCCTGGCTTGCAGAGGAACTCCTAGAAGGGCTAGGACTTGGATGGTCTGAAAGTCTGGGAAGGTAACCTGGAGACAGGAGGGGAGAAAAGGGAGAGGAGAAGAGGGGAGAAGAGGAGAGGGGAGGAGCCTGGCATTCCAGATGGTCAAAGGCACAGAGCAGAACAAAGCCACTGTAGGTAAGTAAGTGGAAGGCCCAGTTAGGTAACAACGGGAGAGAAGATCGCAAAGTGAAGATGGGAACAGACTACACAAGCTCTTGAGTGCAGTTTAAATCATCTGGACTCTATCCTATGTGTAGTGAATGCCATTAAAGGTGTATGAGCCAAGAAGAGGCAGCATCAACACAAGAAACTTTAATATGAAAGCTCACTCCTGGAGAGCTCCCCAATGGGAAAGATTCAAATTCAGTTCTGCCTAGAGACAAGGAAATAGGATCTCTATTGAGATTTCATCCCTACTGAGTTTCTTCTAAATACAAAGACCGTTCTAGCCGGTTTGGTTCAGTGGATAGAGCGTCGGCCGGCGGACGAAAGGGTCCCGGGTTCGATTCCAGTCGAGGGCACATACCTCGATTGCAGGCTCCTCACCGGCCTGGGCTCTGGTCAGGACACATGCAGGAGGCAACCAATCCATGTCTCTCTCTCACACTGATGTTTCTATCTATCTTTC